TCTCTCGGCGAACAGCTCAAGCTACGCCAGCAAGTAATTGCCACTGCCACCGTGTATTTCAAACGTTTTTATGCCCGCAATTCTCTCAAATGCATCGATCCCCTATTGCTGGCACCGACGTGTATCTTGCTGGCGTCCAAAGTCGAAGAATTCGGAGTCATTTCCAACTCCCGGCTTATCACCACTTGCCAAACGGTGATCAAGAACAAATTCAGCTATGCATATCAGCAAGAATTCCCTTATCGAACAAATCACATCCTGGAATGTGAATTTTATTTACTGGAAAATCTCGACTGCTGCTTGATCGTGTATCAACCGTATCGTCCTCTGCTGCAGCTGATACAAGATATCGGTCAGGAAGATCAGCTTCTCACGCTTACGTGGCGTCTAATCAACGATTCCCTAAGAACGGATGTTAGCTTACTGTATCCACCGTACCAGGTACGGTTGCTCCTATGGCGTCTGAAAGAATCTATGTAACTAACTGTGTCCTCCTTTGTAGATAGCAATTGGTTGCCTGCAGATCGCCTGTGTCATCTTGCAAAAAGAACTCAAGGCATGGTTCGCTGAATTGAATGTGGACATGGAGAAGGTACAAGAAATTGCCAGGGCTATCTTGAACCTTTTCGAATTGTGGAAAAGTTATGATGAAAAGGAAATACAAGGCCTGCTGGAAAAGATGCCAAAGCCAAAACCGGCATCACAGCGGTGATTCAGTAAGTTCTCTGTCGATGTAGTTTTAGATACCTATCTTACTATTCTAGTGACGGCGTTTGGTTAAAGGGTAAACTAAATACAATTCATTTGATTTTATTGCTAATCTAAAACATAACTTTTGACATAGATGAACAAGAATTTTTACAAATAGAATAATGAAGATTTGACTTTTATGATTTGGTCGTACCTTATCTAAAAACATTACATAGATTGATCGATTTATTGTCCCTTGTATTCGATCTTTACTCAACACGTCGCTAATTTAGGTTTCGTCCACGGCTTTCGTTGCTCGAATGTATTGCTAAATGTTGAAGTATAAGCGGAATAACGTCGCAGTTGGATGAATAATAAACATTTTACACTCATTCAAAACTGGTATAATCACGATCAACTCTCTCTTATCTTGGTATTGAAGGAACCATCGATTTAGGAAGGATAACGAATTATGGAGGAAAAGGAAATTTGTGTGACAAAATTGATCTAGGTATGTAGTCTGGATCTCGTCGAGTTAAGAGAATATCAAGTAGGGAGAGTTGCCTGTACTTAGACGATTAATTCGTATTCTTCGAAACCTCCATTATAATTTAAATCGTGAACTGTCTATGTTAAACGCTGCTTAGGCCAAATTATATACATACAAGGTATCTCAAAATTGAGCGTACACCTGAATGGGCATTTTTTTTTTTTGAAAGACAGTAAATAGATTTTTGAAATCTTGGCTAGTGGTTGAACCACTATTTATTGATTTATCAGTATAGCTTTGGACTTTATTGGCAGAGTATGTAGAAAGTTTGAGTAATTTCAGTAATCGGTCGATTTTCAACTTTTTTAATAGTAGGCGGATTTTAGTAAAATTAGCAGCATTTTAAAGATCTTTAAGGCCCAAGCGCAATGACAGTGGAAGCGGAACGGCAGCGGCAGCGGAAAAGCCCGATCTGAGTAAGCCTACTTGTCGGATTGAAAACTAGTTAAATCAAATCGACTTCGGTTAGGCATCTTGATGCCATTTGTGACAACTGTCAAACTTTCCGTTTCCGTTCCGCTTCCGCCCACATTGCGCTTGGGCCTTTATTGTGAATACAGGTTAGCAATATGGTTGGCTCATTGTATTTCAAGAAAAGGTGTTTTTTTTTAGGAAATCTAGTTTTTTTTTTCTAAAATAGCTCTAACCTCTTACACACTCATCTAAATAAGCCCAATACTATACCGATAACCAATAAATGCATGATGAGTCAGCAGCCTAAAATTTAGAAATCTATATTTTTAATTTGTGCTCGTACAGCTGTTTTTCTGAAATGGGCGGACAGCTGTACACTCAATTTTGAGATACACGGTATATTTCAAAACTAACTCAAGAAAATGGAATCTTATATCAAATCTGATTTGAAAACGTACTTATATTGAATTTTAACCATTTTGCGCGGTTTTATTTTTCCTATTTTTTTTTTCTTTGTTTACCTTAGAATATTGTTGACGGTTCTTTTTCTTTGGCTTTGCTATGTCCATACTGGGATTTTCACCGGTCCTCAACATATTGTTCATTGAGCACTTCCACAGTTGTAAATTGAAAGCTTTCTAAGCCTGTACCATTTTTGCATTAGTATTGTCCCTATACCACGTGGACACTTTGGGGGTTGGCAAATGTCCACGGTCCATGCATATTTTCAAAAAATATTTGGATGATTATCCACGGAGGGGAATCTAAAACCGCTCTAAAACTGTCCATGGTATATGGACAGCTAGCAGAGTAGAAGCTTGCAACTTATAACTTCTTCTTCTCCTTCTTATTTATTCATTTATTTAACGTCGGTCTCTGTTCCGCAATCTAGTGCCAATCATCCATTGACGGCAATCGACTGTGCAGGGAGGCAGCTTCCACACCTGCGTCGGATATCGCACCCATCCAAACACACATGGGCCGGGACCAACGGCTTTACTTCCCTTCCAAAGGAAGACGTGACCAGAGATATTTATACCTCAGAAAAATCCCACCGACCTTGGTTGGGATTGAACCCAGACCCATTGGGGTGAGAAAGCACCACGCTTAACACTACACCACTAGAAGTTCTGACAAGAGCGGCGCCGGTGGTGTAGTGGTAAGCGTGATTACCTCTCACCCCAGCAGGCCTAGGTTCAATCCCAGTCGGCGTCGCCGGGATGTTCTGAGGCATAACATCTCTGATCACGTCTTCCTTCGGAAGGGAAGTAAAGCCGTTGGTCCCCGGTTCATGAGTAGTTGATGGGTCGATAGGTAGGGTCAAGGTGTGGGAGCTGCCTCCCTGGCGGCGGTAGCATTGGTGCTCAGCACGGAAAACAAGATCGACTGAAAACAAACCAAAGGAAAAAAAAATAGAAGTTCTAACCAACATTATCTTCGAATATATGAAATTCTCTTCAGGCTTTTTTTTTGAACACTCATCCAAGTTCTCTTGAAATTCTTCTCGGAATTGTCTCTTGAAACTCTCATAAGAATAGTCTTAGAATTTCTTTTGAACTATGCTTAGAAGCCCCTTAGAATACTCCTTTGAATTATCTCCTGAAATTCCTTGAAACTCCTAAAAATTTCTTTCCATTTCAGAATTTCTTCAGAGTTCAATTCTGTTAGATTTCTGCATAGTTTTCATTTAGATAATACTCAGGATTGGATAATTATTCGCTCAAGAATTCCTTATACATTATATTCAGAATACCATTGATTTCTCCTTAAAATTCACCTGGAATTCTAATCACAATCAAATTTTTTCAGCATATTGAAATGTCCAAGATTCAGTATCTATCCAAACCTCAGCACATATCTTAAAAATTTTCGAAAATCCTAAAATCTTAAAAATTTAAGTATTGCTCATATTCCAATTTCAATTTTTTTTTTGCACTTTCCACATTTGGTAACAATTTGTAAAATCTGTAAGTGTTGGAAGTGTCCATAATCATGCACGGATAGAAATTCCCTATACGTTTTGAATAACTAAAATAACTTTAGAAATCAAAGTGCACCTGACATCACAAATCTTTATGTTGCAGACCTATGACAAACAATTGGCATTCAACAAAAAACTTTTTTAAGCTAACTTAAATTCAGTTTTTCTTTACTTTACCTTCGCTCAATTAAAAATCTTTAAAATAGCAAACGTTGTAATTGAATAAATGAAATGTCAATTTGATTGTTCCATGGAAGCATATTATACACCCAATAGAATGGATTTAACGCCATATATACAACATGCAGTTCATAACTTTCATTATTCTTTGTTCTCTTTTTTTCATATATTTTATATCATAATATATCGTAAGATTTTCACCCAAATTCTTGTTTTTGTTCGAACAAAAAAAATGTGTTTGGTTCGAATGGTTCGAACGAAAACAAGAATATGGGTAATCGACAAAAAAAAGGGGGCTTTCTGGAGTGCTTTTTGAATAGGTCGTATGTAGCAAACGTAAAAAATTGACATTTAATGCTACCTAACACTACTCTGGTTATTCTTCCTAAAGGCAAAATTTGGGCCCGCTACCTCATTTCTGTTTCATTTTCTCATCAAAAAACTATTTGTCTATGTGCCAACTAATCAAAACATAGCTCAATGTTACATACGACACCTAACTTCTATGGGGGTGTCAATCGTCGTATGTAACAAATTTGTCAGTAGCGTAAAAACTGTACATAAGACCTGTTGTGTTTTTCCTAAAAAATGTGCAAATTTTGCAAATCTTCAATGTAAAACGATTGTGGGTGGTCTATTAAATGATAACTACGCTTTCCGTGAGATATTACTCATTATAATAAACGTTTCTTTTTCAACATGAATGCTATCAATACCTTGCTCAGTCGATAGCATCACTCCTGAGATGTTGGTTAATGGAATTTTTGAAAGTATTATCTATCTCATTGAAAATAGAAATAACAAAAACACTTCGTTTCTCTAATTGACTCTAATTGACAACCAATTCAAAAAGTACTCCAGCTTTGTGTAATCACCATTTCCCAAGTAACGGCAAATAAAATGAAAGTCCAAGACAGACGTATCTGAACAACTTTTCCAAAGACAGCAACTTTCTAAGTAGCAGCCCGAGCAAAGTCCAGCATCAAAATGACAGCAAATTGAAATCAAGTTTTGATATCAACATCAAACTGCTATCATAATTTGATTTCAGTTTACGCAATTGACAAATTTTATACCTAATTTTGTTTTCATTTTGCTGTACATTTGCTCTTCAGAAATATGTTGTTGCGGGTTTGTTTTCATGGCCTTAGCATAACATCAAATTGAATAGTTGTTTTGTTATCAACAGGAAAAATCAAATGTGATATTTTAACCGTTAAAGCGACCAAAAAGACAGCAACCTGGGTAATCATTATCAGCGAAATCACAACATCAAATTTAGATTTCAATTTGATCTCAGACTTTGCTCGGGAGAGCAGCCAAGTTAAAGCAAGCAATCAAAAGTCAAAAGGTACATAAGTGCCGACATATGTGATAATTTTGATCTGAGTTATTCAGTATACAACCCAACAACCAATTCAGAGTCACAAATAAGCATATATATATTGAATGAATGCGGTATTACAATGTACAATGCTGAATAAAACGAGTTGTCGAATTATGTGCTGAAAAAAGCTCATTAAGATCGACAGAGCCACATTTATTCCACTGTTTGCTCTGAGCTGATTAATTTTATTATTAAAAGCTGTATAAACGTTGACTGTCTTCCCAATTCATCGCCAGAAGTTTGATCTAATAACAAACTGAATAAGTGTAATTTGCACATACATTGACGCTTTAATTCGACTGTTTTCAATTGATTTAATAGCATCTAATAATTGTTTTCTAGCTCCATTATTAGATTTCATTGCATTGCTTTACAATATTGCTGAATAAAGATGGATACAGTCAGCATAATAGCTCTTATACCACTATGCACCCATATTTTAATCGCATGCCTTGTAAATGCTTTATAAACGACGTATTAGATTCATTACTCCACAACACTGGTTCAGTCTAACAACAAGACGAAATCAGTAGAGTGGTGGTTACCGTTTCCGCTTTCCAAGTAGAAGGTCGTGAGTTCAATCCCAAGTTCAACCTTTTTTTATTTGTGCTCTATGCCTAATTAATTTAAATAGTAATCATCGATCACATGACTCACGACAATGCATGCATTGATCTAGTTTATCTAACCGAACCAAATAATCCTTTCCTTGGAATTGGAGAGGTGAAGAGGTAACATTGGTTTCATGTAAAACAACGATGAATGAATTAATCATTTCTACCGGGCCTTTAAGGAGCTAGAGCTATAGAGTTGCGATCGGGAGTGCTGATAGGTATTCACTTTCAAGCAAGCTTTTATTGATTATTGAGCTGCC